ACATTATTAAAAATGTTAGCAGCAAAAATCAAAACAAGTCATCCATTATATGTGACAGAGATAAACAATTTAGGAAGTGCTGACTCTATGTTGACTAGGAAGCATTGAGCAAGACCTTTTCAAAATGAATGGAAAATTTTATACCAAATTGTAATCATAAAATATTTTTAATAGAATTATTGGTGCATTATTAATGAATGTCAGGCTTGTACTACTCAGCTGTGGAACATTTCTTACAGTTCTCTAAAGCACAGTTTCTTCATTATGGTATTGATATGAGCCTTTTTCAACCTTCATCATTCATGTGTTACTGGAAGTTCAACAATATAGTGATACTATTAAAATGGTAGTGGCAACAGTTTGCTAAAATATGTCTCATTCTTGCCTAGTGGGTAGTGAGAATACTCATAAGATGCCTTACCCCTGGCAGAATCAGATTTCCCAGGCTGTTGACAATTACAAGCTGACAATTCCCATCTGTGTAACTGCTGCTCTTCCCTGGGTATCGACTTTTTGAGCTGGTGATCAAAAGCTCATACATAATCTGTAAAATTTTTGATCAGTAACATGAGTGGGGACCTAGAGTAGGATTTGATCAAAGTATTATTTGTATCCACTACTTCATGGTTTTGCCACAAAGAACACTGACCAGCTGACTGCAGCCTCGTCCGGTCAGTGGGCTTCAAAGCATGGAGGAATCTAGGGGGAAGACCAAAGAGGACATAGAATTAACATGTAGAACAATGTGGTTGAGGTCCAGGAAGTAGGGAGAGTTGGGTGAAAGGATGCTGTGTACTCACTGGAACACTGTGGTATTAAACTGTAGGTCCCCTGGGCTGAGGGCATATACTCTACATCTATGTAGTTTTCCCAGTGGAACATAAAATAACTTGATTGTGCCACACTAAAAATTATTTGGGGGATTTTAATAATTCTATGTGTTAAGTCTCTTTTAGCCCAGAAAAAAATCTAACTAGAAACCTAGGAGTCTCTGAGAGTATACTTGGAGTTGGAAGCAGTTGCTGGGTTGATTCCGAGTGTTGAGGAAGTGGGAACAGTTGTTGTTGCAGAGGATAAGCTCAGACATTGCTCCACACGCTGCTCTATATGCAACCTTGGTCTTCAGTTGGGGACCCTTTTCCCAGGGCCTGTGTATCACAGGGCAGCTGTGACTAACTATCTAAAGGTGATCATAAGACTGTTGGAAAATGAGTTAACACGAGATCACTTTGAATATATTTATGGAAGGCTGGCAGCCTGAACTGAAGTGGTAGTTTTGCAAATCATTTTTTATAATTTATTGGATTTAAAGTTATATTTGTATATTACCATGTTTATTTACATATCCATACTTGAGTAGGAGAGAAAGCAATCAATCATATGGGAAACTCTGACTATCTCAATGGAAGTATGTTACGCATAAGAATGTCAATAGAAGAAACAATGAGAACTGCTTCTCTTATGAATGTCTTTTAAAATTAGGTACTCTTCTTTTCCAAAGGAAGGATTACAGATACAAGGCTTATGAATTTTCTGGTACTATAGTATAATATTATTAAACTGTGGATTTCATAGTTTTCTTCATCCTCTTTTGTAACTTTGATTTCTTCTCCCTTCTTACCACTCTGACAAAATAAAGGATAAAATCTTCTCAGATGAACTCTTGAGAATAAAAGCAATTAGAATAGAAGAAAAACCAATGGGATCTCATAGAGGAGAGTTATGTTGGCACACAGAAGTGTGCGAGATCTGGGAGTTTGGGGATACTAGAGAAAAGCAGAGTTCACAAGAGGCTAATAAGAGTGGCTATGGATTATACTCAGATTTATTTACATAAATCTGAGGAACTTGCAGGAAAAATTGAGATTCTATAGTATGCCATTTTTTCTTAATGCAACATAACCCTGGAATAGACTTCTAGGATCTGGGAACTTTGGAAATGAGAGAGCCTGTCACATGGAATGGCTAGTAACAGTTTCAAAAGTATAAACAAAATCAGTGGTTCTTTAGCCAGTGTTATCCTTTAATCTGTCATGTCTCCTCACCCTAAACAGTCTTAGTTCTCTGAGACTAGGGACAGAGTGGGCAGGTGATATAGAGGGCACAAGGGTGGCACTAGGAACCATTCAGGCTGCTCTGAAGTTAAGAATGTGGACAAGGTTCAGGCATGGCATCCTTAGAACTCTGCTTCACTTTGTTTCTCAAAGAAAAATATATTAAAAGCAAAAGGAGTAGCACATACATCTTTGTCAGAAACAAGGACAGCATATCAGTCACAAAAACTTCCATTCAGTTTCGTAGAGATTAGAGGTTAGAATCCAATCAAGCTGCCAACTTTATAAAAAACAGCCTACTCCAGGGCTGCTGGTGGTGGGGACATCACAGAGCCTGCCATGCACGAGCCTGGTCCCCTGCATCCCTGTATACCTCACTCAGGCAGCCCTCAGACATGACCCTTCATCCGGATCTGACCTCCGTTTGGGTCTTTTTGCTTTCTGACATTTTCCCATCCTAGATCCTTCTTTGATATTTTCTTAATATGATGATCATCCCTAATCTTGAAAATGTAGACAAGAAGTTGTTTAATGTGCTTTTATTTCAAAACAAGACTTTTTACCTGTCTGCCTCAATAGGCATAGCACAGTTAGACAGCTTGGTTGATAGGTGCTGGCTAGAACACAAGGGATCTGGATTACACTGTCCTCCTGCATGACTGCAGACTCACTTCTGGGTTCCTTTCCATTAGAACTTCTCTCCAATATCAAAGTATGCCCACGCTTCTTCAATAAAACGTATGAAAACAAAAACAAGAAACATTTCCCCTAACTACTTTCCTTTCTCATCACAGACAGGTTTCTGGAAACAAAAATTAGAACAATGTATTATTCTCTCTGACTTCATATTCATCCCTTGTTTATTATAATCCATCTTATACAACTTAACTGAAACACTTTTGTTGGGGATATTGCTCAACCTGGCAACACAAGGTCCTGAGTTCAATTCCTGCTACAAAAAAAAACCAAAACCAAAAACAAAAAACAAAAAACAAAATCACATTCATTAGAACGCTTTCACAAAGTTACTTATGAACATCAGAATATCTCAGTGCTAAATTCAATACACGTACATTCCTTTTTTTTTTAAGTTTTCAAGCTTTGGATATCATGCTCTTTGAAATTCTTTCCTCTTGGACTTACGACTTTCTCCATTTCCCTTATGTTCTTTGTTCTTAGTCTCCTTAGATTATTTTTTTTTCTACCTATGTCTTAAATCTTGGTATTCCCGAGGACTGCATTATTTTTCTCTGTTTACTTGCATTCTTTAAATTTTTATAGCTTGTCTCAACCACAAAGCATACACTACAATCTTATGCTTATGATACTGAAATCTATATCCACAGTCCAGATCTTTCACCCCAAGTTCAAGTTATAACTACCTACTAGACTTTTCCATTTAGCTATCACACAAACATTGCTGGCTCAGCATGCTCACAAAGATCTTATTTCTATTACAAAAGTTTCTTTCTCCTTTCTTACTGAGTATATTATTTGTCACTTGCTGAAGGAAGAAATTTGACAAATATCCTCAATTTTTCCCCTTTCCCTTCCTTTCTCTTCCCTTCCCTTCCCTTTCCTTCCTTTTCATTCTTCCTTCCTTCATTTCTCCTTCCCTTCTTTCCTTCCTATTTCTCTCTTTATATTAAGTGACCAAAACGCATTGGTTTTCCTGACTAATAATTAGTTCATTCTCTTAACTTCTAACCTCAAGATTATTTCCACTTTAGAAAACAGGTTTTAGTCTTTCCTAGCTTGGCCTCTTGAGAATGCACAATTGTCTCTTGTTTTCATTTTTCTTCTTGTTTTGCCTTTACAGTCAATTTAAATCAGTCCTAAAGTGATCTTTCAGAAATGCACATGTGGCCCTGTCATTTTCTTGCTTGAATCCCTAAATGGCTGTCCACTCCTTTAATGATGAACACCGAAGTGCTGTCCTCTGCCGTCCCCTCCTTCTTTATTGCTTCCTGTATTGGACTGCTTTAGGGAAGATGGGCCAGAGTAATAGTTTAATCTCTAGCTATTTCATGCTTGGCTTCACTTTACTGAGGCTGCCAATTAGTGATTTAGAAGTGAACTCTTCTATGTGAACCAAGGCCTGTTTCAGATAGTCCTTGAAGAGCCGTGGCCTTACCGTCACTAAAACCCCACACTGGCTTGAACTAGTGACCGAAAATTGAATGTCTGTATATTTTCTTGACTATATTCTGAAAACTTTTGAAAGGCTTTGGTTATTTCTCAGTCTAATTTGGCCTAAATGTAAAGATATATTTTCAAGTTAATGACTTTTTAAATGTAATATTTTCAGACACAGATGACAATTTTTTTTAGTTGAACTCTTGTAATTGGTTTTTGGAGAGAAGTGAATAGATTTTCTCAACTCTGACTTATAAATGGTGTAAGAGCGCCTTCATTTCCTTGTCAGCCACTCTTTTCTGGCCTTAAGAATGGAAAGTAACAGCCGCTAGGCGTGATCCTATCAGCAGGAAACATCCTTGCTCCTGGCTGATTCACAAATTACTGTACCCCTGTCTTGCTTGCCATTTTGAACAGAGGGACAGAACATAGAATAAACAAGAAAATTAGAGTGGCTGCACGCACAAACATAAATCTTACATTCAAAGGTAAGGAAGGATCAGTAAAGAGAGATGTATAAATATCAAAGACCTATATAGGAAAAGAATATAAATAAAATAATTCAGAAGGATTAGATATGGAGAACAGAGAAGGGGAAGCTGTTTGCTTGTGGAAGAGTATCCACATTTTAAAAAATGTTAATAATTCGTCTATTCTGCTGACAAATGAAATATGGTTTATGCAAGATCAATAACTAGAAAGTTACGAAGGCAAACTCTTCCCTGTCTTCCTGTTATTCTCCTCAGTAGCTTGAAAGAAATTATGATTGTCAAGGGGGAAAAAATCAACATTATGCATTATGCATCTTACACAAGGATATCCTCTACCAGGGTGTGAAGGGCGCTGGGGTTGCGGATCAGTTTGTCAAGGAAGCTGACAATGTCAGTAAATTTTGGTCTGTGATTTCTCTCCTTCTGCCAGCAGTGGAGCATCAGTTGGTGTAGAGATGCAGGGCAGCCCATGGGAGCTGGAAGCCTGTAACCTTCTTCAATGGACAGAATGACCTAAATGCAAACATACACAGATTATTCTTTTGCTTTTACAGACAATAATACATATGTTAAGTTATAATTTCTTTATGCACAAACAGTAGAAGCCAAAACATTGGTAAACATGAAAACCATTTGTGATAAGTACACAAAGCCCAAGTAAGGATAAACATCAAGGTTCTGAAGGAGAATCGCAAGTAGCTCCATAGCACTTCCTGACTCCTAGGACAGGAAAATATATTTTAAACATGTGCAACTGGTACACAGAAGATACTTATCTTTTTGTCACAATCAGTTTTTTAAGTGCTAACTGATAGCTAGAATCATCTGAAAACCCAGTCATAACATCAGAAAGTCAGCATTAAATTGCTGCATTTAGTGTAAACGCCATGTGAAAAATGTTGTAAGTGAAAATTAAGTAAAATTTTGCTAAACATGATTTGATGGATCATAGTTTGTTTTTTAGTTTAATATCAATATATATACTTTTAAAGCCATCCTTTCTTTTTTATCCTGCATTTAATTGCTCATTACCTTCTTATGATCTGACACTGACTTGACTATAAAGTCATCTTCTCACAACTTCTAAGGTCATTATTCCTTGATGTGCTAACAATGGCTAAAACTACAAACAACATGAACATTTGATCTGTGTCTCCAACAGAACTTTTGGTGACTTACAGAACGTTAAAAAGTTCTCACTGCACTCATGTTAGTAACTAGTCACAGCAGTCACTGAATATTTGAAATGTAGCTGGAAGGACTGAATTTGTAATCTTGATTCATTTTAATTCATAAAAATTAAAAGTTAAGTGTCTGCATCTGCTGCTCTATGAGACAGCACAACTCTAGGGAAAAGAATTTGGATAAGCAAGCTAAGTTAGGAGTCACAAATATTTTTTGAGAACAAATATTTTTCTTCGTACTTAGGAAATCCCATATGAGATCATGTAGGACAATTAATCTATTTTACATATGACTTTCTCATCCTTGAGGATTTCCTCAAAAATGCATTGTAACTGATCTCGAACACTAGATTTTATGGAAACATTCAAAGGTAAACCTTTATTGTTATATTATTTCTGGGAAAGACAGAGGAAAGGATTTATTCTCCCTATTTTTGATGTATAAAGCTAAGGATTAAGTTAATATTTACATGCAGGCTCAATTTAACCTCACCCCACTTTTAAATTAAAAGAAATTAAGTTCAACAAGCAAGATATAAAGGCTGCTAATGTTAAAACACAGAAGAATTTTACTTCTGCACTATCTAAACATTTTCTTTTTTTTTATAAACACTGACATCTTACTTTAATTTCTTTTTAAAAGTGTCACAATGTGACATGATTAAAATACCCTGAATTTTTGTTATAGGCAATTTGTATAAAAGAAGCAGTAAAATGTCTTGGGAACATTTTAACTGCTAAGTTTTAACGTTTTTGCAGTATTAGGGAATTTCTCATATTCCCATTAGTGTCTGTGAACAGAATACTTTAAGCCTGAAAGTACATTAATGTTTTTCTCATCTATTTTTGACTATTTTTGCTAACAACTAGGCTTGATTTTTAAGACATTTTATTATACATTTTAGTAAAATTAGAAAGTGTATAAATGCTTATAATATACGAAAACCACTGTGGGTAGTTTAGAAAAGTAATTAAAAAAACATAGCACAGACTTACATTAGAGAAACTCTTTGAAGTTCTTCCCTAGAAAAGCTTGATAGTCACTTTGCCGTAGTTACCCACTTGCAAGTGCATGAAATAAAACAGGTGAAAAATGAGGCTATATGATGTGGAAAACCTGCCTTAATGGAATATTTACCATTTGCTTGGTCCTTCATCTATTCTTCATTTTTTGGCTAATATTACACAGCATGATAATTATTGTTTGTGTTTCATATATTAAAAAGGTTGTATTCAGAGAGGTTAAGAAATTTGCCTAGGAAAACCAAAAAATTTTCTAGTTGGAACATATGTGGCAGAACTGGAATTTGAACTGTTTCTTTTAACTTGAAAAAAAATTCCTCTGGCTTTTCCCTAGAAACACTTTTCCATTTTTATGATATAACATCTTCCTCTGTAGTATTTTTTGTTCCCCAATAAAATTTGCATACCTATTACTATATTATTTTTTGTCATAGCATATGTTAATTGGACTTTAATGTTTTTCTTTGGCTATTAAGTTTAATATTCTGGGTAAATGTAAAACATGTAACATAGTTTGTAAAATATTTGACTTACTAGTCATTTCTGAATGCTTCAATATCTCATGTAAATTTCTATTGCATCTATTACTTGTAATGCAGTGTCTTCAGTTGCCTATCCTCCAAAGTTATATATGTTAGAAGGAAGAAATGATGCCTCTAGATTCTACATTTTAATTATTTACAAAAGTGCCCGACACACTAATGAATGCTATTAATAAAAAATTATTTGGAGAAATTTTTTTGATTTAATAGTGGAACAGATTTTTTTTTTTAAAAAAGCCTTGTGTATCAATCTACTCAAAACGGATTCAAACCACAAGCCTGACTATACTCTCTAGGAGAAATACTAATTTTTCTAAAAAAGGTACATCAACTCTATCCAAAAAACACTCTCCTGATCTTGCGCTTGTTTGCCTAACTAGCATAGTTGAGACTGGGGGATTGCTCTTCCTTAAGGAAAAGGAACTTGACTTAACCCAGATTTTCACTGGCATTTTCTTCCTTTCCAGAGGAATTATTGTTTTATACTGGCCTCCACTGATGAAGAGCAGACTTTCCAGACAACTTTGGTAAATAGTTAATGTTCAAATCCAGACTACTTGATATTATTTCCTCTCAATAAGGTTGCTCTAATGCTTCCTCTGTAAGAAGGAGTTACAGGAGTGAGGGCTTCCCTTTCCTAGAACATTTACCCTCTGTTTGTCCAATGGAGCATGTTCTCCAGGCCACCTGTCTTTGGGGCAAGGGAAAGATCAGGAAATTCAAAGCTATTCTTCTTTTTGAGCTCTGCTTTTGAATTTCTTTAGTCCTTTAACTCATGTTCTTGTGAAATTTGTCTTAAGCCCCTGGATCTAGACACACACGTGTCAAACACAAATTTAGGTCAATAGTAATAAAACAATGCAACAATGGCAATGACCAAAACAGTTAATAATCATTGAGAGCTCTTCAGTAATTCCAAAGTATTAGTCCTAAATGATGTACACATACTGGTTTTTATAACCCTTGTAATAAAATTATGAGGTAGGCACAATAATTATCCCAATTTTAGACAAAGGACATTAACCACAGAGTAGTTTAACTTGCTTAAGGCCATATACCTAAAATACTCTAGCTTCAAAGGTAACTACATAAGAGACTAATACAGTTTGTACAACTGCTTAAAAGATGTGTCTTTATGGTGGAGGAGACCAAAGATTATGGCTATGGTGTGCTATGTGAGCACACTGGAGTACTACTTTCTAGTCTCAGGAAGGCATCTCAGAGGAGAACCAGTCTTAAAGGGCATATAGAAGCCAAGAGGGTGAAGTGGGTGAAGGCAAGAGAGGACATGAGACCTGAAAGTACGGAACTTTGTGTGACTAGATTAACTGGAAGGTTAAATTAAAACATACCATATTGAGATTATAAATGATTTTGCATGCTATAAACTTAGACTTTCTCAAAAACAGAATTTTAGCAACTAAATAGCAATAAATCTGTCTTTTAGAATTCACTCAGGCTACTGTGTTAGATACTCACAAGAAGGTTTTCAGTGGTCTAGCTCAGAGATCAGGATGGAGCTAATGGAGACAATGGGAGTGGTGTACAAAGTAAATGGAGTTTTAGAAATAAAGGACCAGGGTGAGATTAGATGTTGCAACAGAAGGAAAAGACAGAGAGTCATAAAACTAGGCTTTTGGCTTGGTAAAGATAGAAGTTACATGAAGGAAATAGGTTGGTGGCTGGGCTGGTCCAGTTTTCAACAAGCTTTAAAGTTTAAGCAAAATATGTAACTTCGAGAGTTTATTATGTGCTAAATTCTGAGGTCTTAACATATCTTACCTACTTTAGATTTTACAATACTTGTTATTTAAATTTTAAAATAATTATGAGTATCATTATGCTTATTTTATAGGTAAGAAAAGTGAAGATCAATCTGATGAACAGATTGAATCAGTATCACATGGCAAATGATTTTCCACTTGGTAGACTAATGTTCTCATCATAGAATCCTCTGAATCAAAGTAGTGATGCAGAAAATATCTCCTGAGTCTTGAACATATCCTCAACTTATTTTCCCCTGAATTAGATCTTGAATCCTCTTTTCTGTACTCTCACGTAACCCATGTCTTTATTGTCATTATCTGCTTAAGATTTCCATACATTATAGCTGTAGCTCAGCTTTCTATCCTATTTTCTATTCCTATCACTTATGGGACATTTCACTTTATAAAGGGAACATGTGTTTTCTTTGTGCAAGACTAAGCCTCTTCTTTCTTTGGGATTTCTGTTCTTTGAAAAGGGCACCATCATTGTCCCATCAAGGCTGTGGTCAGGGAGACATTTGGGCCTTCCCTGTTGCTCAAAATTAAGTTAATTTGTTCTGTTTGCTTTATTAGTACATGCTTACATTGCATTACATAATAATTCACTCCTTGTGGGTAAGTGGTACATGTGATTAACACATCTAAATTCATTTTTGAAATCCATTTTCCCTCCCTCCTCCTCTTGATTCCCTTCCCATTTGAAAAACATCTCTCTCTCTACTTCCTATGTCCGTCTTTTATTTTGCTCTTGATTTATATTTTTTCTCATGTAAGAGAAACTATGTGATATTTAAACTTGTGTGTCTGTTTTATTTCACTTAACATTATGTCTCAAGATGTATCCATTTTCCTACATTCAAGCTTATCTTTCTTTATAACAGAGTACTACTACACTGTATTTATACAGTGGACATTATAAAATGTCCATTATAAAATGGACATTTTATTTGTCCATTCATCTATCAGTAGACATACAGGCCACTTCCAAGAGGCAGCTA